GTAGCAAAAATCTCTCCTAAGGGGCCAGCAGGTGGTGTGTTGGTTAAGGTGGCTGGACTCCCACATGACCGACCATGGTTCGAGTCCCAGACCTGGTAGCTTTGTTTCTCACTTTCCTTCTTTTTCTCTGTCTCTCTCTGGTCAACTTAAAAAAAATATAATGACAATGAATAAAATAAAATAATTCTTTTTAAAAATCTCTCTTAAAGTATATATATACATTATATGTCTGTGTGTATATATACATATATATTTTTTTTTCGGTTAATTTTTTGTAATTCTGTGAACTCTTTTTTTTTCCTTTTTTTTTTTTTTTTTTTTTTTTTGCTCTAGGGCATGTGTGCTTGTTGCAGAGAGAGAGACCCATACCCTCCACGCCCCCTACTAGGGATGGCCATACCACTGTCACTTCTCTATTCTCCTCTTAGGATCTTGGGCACGCACGCACACGCGCTTGGGTGTTTTTCAAGCCACTAAGTCTGAGACTTGAACCATGCTGTTGACCATGCGGGATCTGGTGTCTTAACCTCCATACCACCTGCTGGTCTCTCTAAAATCTTTCAATAAAAGGTGTGTCTCACCTTACTTTGGAACTTCCAGAGCAAGAGGTGAAGAAGCTTAGCCCCTCTTTTAGTTTCTAGGTACTGCTAGGTGCCCTGGTGTCCTGTTCACAGAAGATCCCGATTTAGGGTCTTATTACATTTTCTTGCCTTCTAACTTTATCTGTCCTAGGTGAACTCCATGTGGTCACTAAAGCAAGGCCAGTAGAGCTGCAGTAGGAGAAGGTAGGATTAAACAGAGAAGTAAATTGGGTCACTTCGAGATCTCAGGCTTAATTACTAGTTTTCATACTTAGTGGACATCTTAGTCCATTGTTGTGTTTCTTAATGGAAAAGCCTTAGACTGGGTGAGTATAAGGAATAGAGGTTTATTTGACTTACAATTCCAGTGGGGAAAGTGCAAGGGTATGAGGCTGGCATGAGGCCAGGTACAACATGGCTAACAGAAGCAGAGAGGATGGCAGGTGTGTGCAGAGGAGGCATGTTGGGGGCATCTTCCTTTTATAACAATTGCCCTCATGAGAACTAACCTTTTCTCATAAGAGCTCACTCAGTCTTTCCCAAAACAGCATTAGTCTGTTCATGAGGCCATTGTCTCTGCGATTCAGTCACCATGATCTAGTCAACACCTCCCAACACCAAAACATTGAGACCAAATTCCAAAACATGAACCCTGATGGGGAAGCCATTTTCTAAACCGTAATAGTGGAGTTTCAGTGCATAGGGAGTCCCAGCTTCTTTAGAAGGGTGGGTGTTATGGAGCTTTACCAGAAAGGGGTGTTTAACAGACCATTAGTCAGAATTGTAATCCAACTAGGGCTGGCAGGTGGTGTGGTGGTTAAAGACACTGGACTCCCACATGGCCGACCACAGTTCAAGTACCGGCGGGGCTTGTTTTCTCATTCTTCCTACCCGTCTCTGTCTCTCATGATCAAACTGGAAAATAGTATTAGTAAATAAAGTTAAATAAAATAATTCTTTAAAAAAAATGGAACCGGTAGGTGATGTGGTGGTTAAGGCGCTGGACACTCCCACATGGCTGACCATGGTTCAAGTCTCAGACCTGGTGGCTTGCTTTCTCACTCTCCCTCTTCCTCCCTCTCTCTCTTTCTCTCTCTGGTCGAATTAAAATTAAGAAAAGAAAAAAGAATGAATAAATAAAATTAAATAAATAATTTTTAAAAATAATTGTAATCCAACTAGAAACATACTGGGAAGCTTAAACCTTTTTTTCCTTTATTCACGAAAGAGCACCTGCATGTAGATGTGAGAGAGAGAGAGAGAAAAGGGGCGCCCTTTATAGGGTCTGGTCATACCATCTCCCCTTTCTTTCAGTTCTGCAGCCTGTCAGACATTGGATACTCATACACCTGCCTGGCTGTTTTCAGCTGACTGGGCTCAGAATTTGACCCACAGTTTCCACATTATCCATTTTCTCCTTAGCAGTACATTAACACTGTGCCATGGAGCTGGCCCCCATGGAAAGCTTAAACCTTGACTCAAGATTGCTTAGGATAAGCTCCCAGGTCCCTGATTCCTCTACCCATAAAATGAGGACACTCCTTTCTGTCCTTCCTTAAACTTTTAGTTGTTTTAGAAATGGAAGCTGAGTGAGGTGTACTCAGCTTTTTATTTTTTTCCTAAATAATTATTTTATTTAAATTTATTTATTTATTTTTATTTGGCCAGAGAGAGAGAGAGAGAAAGTCAGAAAGCAAGCCACCAGGTTCAGAACTCAAACCATGGTTGACCATGTAGGAGTCCAGTGCCCTTAACCACTACGCCACCTGCCAACCCCAAGGTGCACTTATATTTTATTTATTTTTATTTTTTTGAGAGGTTTTCGCTATAGGGCGCATGTGCTCTCCAGAAAGACAGAGAGAGACAGAGAGATAGAAAGCGAGAAATCACCCCCCAGGGGGGATGGCCACACTGCAATCCCTTCTCCTCCATTCTCCTCCCGGGATCTTGGGCACACACGCACATGTGCCCGGCGTGAGTTTAAGCCGCCGGGTCCAGGACTCAAACCGCGGTCGACTACGTGGGAGTCCAGTGACATAGCCATTACGCTAACTGCTGGTCCTGAGGTACACTTATTTTTATAAAGAACTTTATTTAGTCCTCATCTTGATTTCCCACTGTATTTGTACTTTAGAAAAACAACATTTTTCTAGGGACCACCATAATTTCCTACTATCTAGATTATTTCAGTTCAATTTAACATTTATTTCTTGAATTCTTTCTGTGTGCCAGATACTGTTTTTTGTTTGTTTCTTTGTTTGTTTTGCCATAGAGTACATGTGCTCACTGGAGAGACAAAGAAAAAAAAAATCACCTCCCAGGGGGAATGGCCATACCACAGTGCCTTCTCCATTCTCCTCTCGGGATCTTGAGCACTCACGCACCTGCACCCGGTGTGAGGAGGTGCTTTCTTTCTCTCTCTTTCTCTCTCTCTCTCGCAAGCACACATATCCTCTGGCAATAAAAACAAAAACAAAATCCATAATACTATACCATACTTCATAAAAATAAACAATAATGGCTTCATATTAAATAACTGACTTTAGTATTCCTTGACCTATAGTTTGTTCAAATGCAGATTTAAAGAAGGTTGACTCATTGCATTTAGTTGACTTGCTCTTATGAGTCTTTTTTGGAGAGGTTTTTGCTATAGGGCTCATACACTCACCAGACAGAGAGATAGAAAGCGACACCCCCCCCCCCAGGGGGAATGGCCACGCTGCAATCCCTTCTCCTCCATTCTCCTCTGGGATCTTGGGCATGCACACATACGTACCCGGCGTGAGTATAAGCCACCAGGTCCAGGACTCGAACTGCGGTCGGCTACATGGGAGTACAGTGACATAGCCATTACGTTAACTGCTGGTCCCTCTTATGACTTTTAATGTAAAAACAGTTCCCTCTATTATTTTTTTTTTTTGGCAGTTTTATTGAAGAAGCCAGTAGACCAATAGAATTTCCCACATTGTATTTGGGTAATTATATATTGGGATGTCATTTATTCTGTTCCAGTATGCTCCATGTATTTTTTTAATTGTTCATTGAATTTAATGATGATGTTAGAAGCACTTGTTCTTTTGAAAATTCCATTACTCAAACCTTCAGTATCTGTTCCTTAAAAGATCCAGGCAGTCAGTTAACCACACTGTTTTACTTTAGTAAGACCTATCTGGATTTAGGCAAATACATTATTTTTAAAATTAACTATATGGTAGTTCTAGTTGTAAGTTTTTTTTTCCCCTCTTTTTTTTTGGAGAGTTTTTTTTTGCTATAGGGTGTGTGCGCTCACCAGACAGACAGAGAGAGACATAGAGATAGAAAGCGAGAAATCACCCCCCCAGGGGGGATGGCCACGCCACAATCCCTTCTCCTCCGTTCTCCTCTCAGGATCTTGGGCACGCACGCACACGTGTCCGCCATGACTTTACGCCGCCGGGTCCGGGACTCGAACTGTGGTCAACTACATGGGAGTCCAGCAACATAGCCATTACACTAACTGCTGGTCCCACACTCTTTTTGAATCTGCTTTTTCCTCCCTAAA